ATATTAAAAAACAATTTTTTCTGGCTGGATGTGCCCAAAGATACATTTGAGGAAAAGTTTGATTTTTTTGCAAAAAAGCATGGAGTAACCCCTTTGGAAAATTTTGAATTTTTGGTCTTTTTTTAAAAGTCTTCTTTTTAAGTGTAAAAACCATTCTTTCCTATTTAGAATATCAAAAAACGATCTTTTTGGCTTTTTTTGCCCATTAACTACACATTAGAAAAAGTTTATTTTGTTTGAGAGAAAGAATGGACTAACCCCTTTGCAAAATCTCGACGTTTTAGACTTTTTTGGTGTTGAGAGCTTTCTTTTTTATCCAGAATATCAAAAATTGATCTTCTCTCTCTTGATTTTCCCAAAAACTCACGTGAGAAAAAATTCCATTCTTTGACAAAAAGCTTGGAGTAAACCCTTTGGAAATAACGATTTTTCTGGATTTTTGGAAATTTCATTTTGTCAGTCCAAGGAGCATTTTTTTCTATTAAGAACGTCTAGCAACAATCTTTTCTGGGTTATTTCTGCTTAAAAAAACACACAGGATAAAAATGTCACTTTTTGGCAAAAAGCCATATACGGACTAACTCCTTTGGAAAATTTTGATTTTTTTTACTTTTCAAAAAATGTAACTTTTTAGTCTAATAAGCATTTTTTTCTATAAAGAATATAAACCGAGTCCGATAACAATCTTTTCTGGCTTATTTTGCTCAAAAACGCACATAGGAAAAAAATCTCTATTTTTTGACAAAAACCATTGATTAACCCCTTTGGAAAATTTCGATTTTTCTGTCTTCTTCAAAAATTCATTTGTCTTGTCTGAAAAGCAATGTTTTCTATAAAGAATATCAAGAAACAGTCTCTTCTGGGTTATTTTTTCAAAGAATACATAGGATAAAAATGTGCTTTTGTTTTTGACAAAAATCATGGACTAACCCGTTTGAAAAATGTCGATTTTTTTCACTTTTTAAAAAATTCATTTTTTGAGTCTAAAAAGCATTTTTTCTATGAGGAATATGAACAAATGATCTTTTCTGGCTCATTTTGCTCTCAAACAGGATGAGAATTTCCATTTTTGACGAAAACCATGGACTAACTACTTTTGAAATTTTCGATTTTTTTGAAAGAATTCACTATTTTAGTCTAAATGCATTTTCTTCAAGAATATGAAAAACACTGTATTCTGGCTTACTTTCCTCGAAAAAACACACTGGATAAAAATGTCCATTTTTTGACAAAAACTAGGACTAACCCCCTTTGGAACATTTCGATTTTTCTGACTTTTTCAAAAATTCAATTTTTAGTCGAAATTCATTTTTGTCTATAACGAATATGAACAAATAATGTTTTCACGATCATTTTGCTCAAAAAACACACAGGATAAAAATGTCCATTCTTTTAGGTTTAGTTAGTCCTTGATGATTTTGGTCAAAAGTTTAAAAATTTCTTTGTCTCATTTTTGGCCAAAACAAGTTTGGAATTATTGGTGTTTAATATTTTAGATAGAAAGGAAGCTTTTTTAGACTATTAATTTTTTTAAAGATAAGGGAAAAATTGCAAAAGTTTTAGTCCATGACTTTGGTCAAAAATTTAAGACATTTACATTCTTTGTTTGGTAAAATAACCTTAGATTTTTTAAGGAGAAAGGAAACTTTTGTACACTATTAGAATATTGTTGCAAATAGTGGAAAGATTCGTTTTTTCCTAAAGGGATGAGTCCAAAAAAAATATTTAAGACATATATATTGACTGCTGATATTGTACATAGAAAATAAGGATCTCCAGACCTAGAAACAATGTAATTATAAAAAAGTTGTAAAATTCGATGTTTTTGAAAATGCTTAGTGCAAGATTACGTCAAAACTTTGAAGAATTTTCATTCTTTGTTTAAGGGGAAATTAACTTGAAAATATTGCTTTTGGGATATTTTAGATAGAAAGAAACCTTTTTTAGACAATAGTGGAAAACTTAGATTATTTCTAAAGGGGCTAGTCCATGATTTTGGTATGAAATTTGAAAAATTTCCGCTCTTTGTTTTTGGAAAATTTAGTTTAGTTTTATTTTTTTAGATGAAAACGAGGTTTTTCTAAACATAAAAATGTTGTTTTAAATAGTCGAAGAATTTTGTTTTTTCTAAAGGGTGGTGTCCAAGATTTTGTCAAAAATCTAAATCTTCGCACTAGTTTATTTTTAGGCATAATATGGCTAGATATATTGTATGTTAATATTGTGGATAGAAATGAATCTTTCTAGACCTAAAAAATGTAATTTCAAAAAAGTCTTTAATTTTATTTCCAAAATAGTGATTTTTTGCAAAGGGGTTAGTCCATGAATTTGGTCAGAAATTTAAAAATTTTCCTTACATTATTGTCGGGCAAAATAAGCTTGGAATTATTGATTTTTGATATTTTAGATAGAAAGAAAGTGGGAAAATGTTGTTTGAAAATTGTCAAAAAATAGAGTTTTTTAAGGGGGTAGGTCAATCAAAATTTTCTAAATTGTTGATAGTTTCTTGTTTGAAGATTACGAGCTTAGAAATTATTTTTGCTGATATTCTAGATAGAAAGGAAGTCTGTTTAGGTATAGAAAAATGGGATTTAAAATAGCCGCAAAATTTTATTTTTTGCATAGGGGTCAGTCTATGATTTTGGTCAAAAATCTGAATTGTTTGTTTCATAGTTTAGTTTTGTTTGGTCAACATAAGCTTAGAAATATTGCTGAATTGTATTCTAGACAGAAAATAATCCTATAATAAATTTAATGTTTTCCATCCTTCTCTTTTTGCCAAATAAGCTTTTGTATCTTGTTTTTTTGATATTTTAGGTAGAAAGGAAGGCTTTCTACACAATGAGACTGATTTTTTTAAAATATATTTACAAACTTTGTTTCTTTTCATAGGGGTTAGTTTATGAGTTTGGTCAAAAATTTGAAATTGTTTTTTAAATTTGTTTTTTAGGCAATTTAAGCCTAGGAATATTGTTTGTTGATATTCTAGAGAGAAAAGAAGGGTTTTTAGAGTACAAAAAACTATTTTGAAATAGGGGCAACATTTTAATTTTCCAAATCCATGATTTTGGTCAAAAATGTGAATTTTTTCATAGATTATTTTTTGAGCAAAATAAGCCTCAAACATATATTGTTTGTTGATATTTAAGATAAAGCAGTAGGCTTTCAAGATTACAAAAATGTAATTTTTTTTATATCATAGGAAGTTTCGATCCTTTCGAAATAGGATCTTTATGATTTTGGAAAGTGATTTGCAATGATTTCACACATACACGAATTGTATTCTCGAGTGCCTTTTATTAGCTTTCGGTTACTACTAATAGAAATTTTGTGATATTGGTTGCTGAGCAAGCAACCAAGAGTTCTTAACCATTGTTTAAATCACTCTAAATGCAGTGTGAGTGGAGTTATATACAATTAGCATACTAGCAATTATTTCTGACTGATCTATTTCCGTTACAAAAATCATAAGCAAAAAATACAAAAAACTAATCTTTTAGATGTCAGAATGAGGCTGGAATTGTTATGAAGAGCAAGGCAGATATCGGTGGGTGTCATCCGCCTCGATGACACCCTATTCAATCCACCTAATTTGTCTTTCATAATAATTTTGTTACTGTTTTTCAAAATAAGGTTCTTATTTACCTTTTCTTCGGTACGTTCAGGATTTTAACTGATGTTTAGTTGAGCAGATGTCCTTCAAATAGATGTTCTCATCCGTTGAGGGTTATTATTCTTGGCAAAAAGGGTGATAATATTCTCAAGCTTTCAACTAAAATGGCTGAGGTACCGCGCCTTTCTGTCGATTTTTCCAGGGTACAAATGACATCAGAATGCCGATATTTGCAGAAGGTTTTTCAAATGTAGTCAACGGTATCTGGCTGTTAAGAATTTATGGGGGGATTTGAGCAAATTCAAACGAGGAAATATTTTGAATAAATAGTTAAGTTAGAGTATTTGAAATTAATCTTTTTTCCCGTAGCAAAATGTCGCCATCATGCAAATGGCCTATTGGTCTTTTCAAAAGATTTTTGCATAAAATTACTAGGAAGTAACGTTATTTTAACTTAAATCATTCATCCGACCATGTAAGAGTTCTTGGCCGATACAAAATGTAATGAACAGTTGGACTTTTGGTTTGAGAAAAAATGGCATACACGATTTTTTATTGTAATTTTTGCCTTTCTCTAGTATATCCTTATCATATTTGTTCAAGCCATAAAAGTTAGGTTTTGGGTGAAGACGCACTGTGAACCCATGGACCAGTTTCGATATCTGAAATATAAATGGTTTGGTTTGGTGGTATAAAACAGAAAAAATATTTTATTCATCCCTGAACCTCAGCCAAGTATGAATTTTGATATATCGACATTAGTCTACATTGCTCACAAAACTCGAGCTTATTCCGGTTGCGTTTTGCTACCTCCTGGATGGATGGAATACTTGAACGTCGCGAGGTTTGCCTCAGCATTGGGAGTCTGAATGAAGTCGTTAGAAGGACTCGAAAAGACGATTAGAGCAAATTCGGAGGTCGTCGAAATCAAAAATCGAATGCTCCATTTACAATTAACCCAGGATTAGACCTAATTGGCCTTCGAATGGATAACTTGGCTATGGGTGAAGAGAGACAAAGCGGATAAATGTGAAAATGTCTATGAGAAATACTATATCAAGACTAGAAAGCGGATTTACAGATCCCGGGTCTAGCGTGAATGTAAAAGCTAAACATTTCAGCTTTTAAAAATGTCCAGATACGCGTGGATGGGTCTGACCCTTGAATAAAGAATATAAACTGCAAGGCCTCCATTCCTATGCTCATGCATCGGAATGTCGACATTGAGGCGTCACGATGACTAAATAATTGTCTCATTTAGTACTCTATCTCCTTCTTTGAAATACCTGAATCAAACGAACTAGAATCTGTTCAAAAGGTTTTCAATGATGAAATTCAATGTCATTAAATGAGTTTCAAAAGATTGATCGTTGACTGAACGCGTTCTTTATATGTTGTTTGATGCGTCACCAGAGAACTCGACCAGCTCTTCGTATTCGTCTTCGTCATAGATGACATCATCAATCCCAGCATCCTCATACTGTTGGTATTCGGCTATAAGGTCATTCATGTTAGAATCGGCCTGTAATTTGAAAATAAAATTTCTTAAATTATCATTATTTTCTTTATTGGTGTAGATATATTAAATTCGGCTCATTGGTACAATATTTTCTTTTCGTAGCGACCATTTAGAAAACCGTGAATACATGAAAAATTCCAGGATTTGACGTTGATTTTGTACTGACCAATCATAAGAAAGATCAAAACATACAAGCAGACCGCAAAAACACAAACTAATTTTTCCGTTTAGGAAACCCCACTGTGTTTAACTCAGTGGATACTCAGATGAGAAGTCGAAGAGATGCATTGTAAGGCTCATTTCAAACGTCCAAATTTTCATGTGCCAAACCTTATACTTTCAATAAAGTACATGAAAAGATCGACGTTTGATTCAATTACGTCCGACATATGAATTAAGTTCGAGTGGCCTACATGGGAATTTCTACTGTCGAGCGATTCGTTCCAAACGTCAAACTTTTCATGTGTCGAACCTAATACATAAATTACTATAATTTATTTTTATTGGTAAGCATTGCACACAATTGTAAAAATGGATTGCGTCCGACTAATTAAGTTTGAAGTCTGCAGTTCGATGCGTAAAAGGTTGGACGTTTGAACTGGGCCTAAAAGGTGGAATACCTCTGTAAATTCCATGATATCCATGCCTTCAGTCGTGTACCAATGGAGAAACGCCCTTCTCCTGAACATCGCAGAAAACTGCTCTGTAAACCTCTTGAATGCTTCTTGAATGGCAGTACTGTTATACAGAAATGTAGCGGCGGTTTTTTGCCCTTTGGGAGGAACATTACACACGGCCGTTTTCATGTTATTTGGTATCCAGTCCACAAATGCCGACGAATGCGCGTTTTGCATCTCCGAAATGGTTTCTTCGACATCTCTCATGGCAAGCTGGCCTCTGAACATGGCGGCAGCTGTGAGATATCGTCCCTGTCTTGGATCACAAGCCACCATCATGTTCTGGGGTCCAAACATATTGCTTGTGAGTTCGGAGATGGCGTACGATCTGAAGCTTTGCGAACCTTGGCTAATGAGCGGCGCGTGGGAGGGGATGAAAAAATGAAGACGAGGAAATGGTACCATGTTTACGGCGAGTTTTCTGAGGTCCGCGTTGAGCTGCCAGATAGAGGACAATGAATCAATTGTAAAACCTCTCACATGCACTCATTTTGAAGACTATCGAGTCAAACTAGTTTTATCTCAGCTATAAAACTCCAATCATATTATAACTCATTCGCAGGGCAGCGATACTTTTGGCCAACGCCCCGGACCGAGAGCTCTGGCTTAAAATTACCTTGGGCTCGTGAATCAACGACGTCTGCAGATCTGTCCACACTCTGGAAAAGAGTGTAGGGCAGCGCTTCGTCAAATTTAGTGCATTCGCTGAGCTTAAAGGTTTGCCCCTATTTTTGAGCCTTTAGTTAGTGGAGATGTTATTCACATATTATTAACCAAAGAAATCATTGAGTCCGCTAGAAAGCTTCGGAACCTCATTATTAGAGGTAAGTGAAAATGTTTCCTCTTCGACAATCTGGGATATTTATGGCCTCTAGATGAACCTTTCATCGCTTTATAGATAGACTCCTTCTTAATTGAATTTATGCCTTAATTAATTAGGTTCAAATTAACTATTGTTCATTTTTGCCTTTTTGAATAGAGAAGAAAATTGATGACGCCACAAAAATTAAATTTGTAAAATTATAAGATAGTTTGGCATATCTAGAAAGAACAAGATGAAGAGTGTTCCCTTGCAAAAACAAACGTCAGCCTGGTAATGCAAATTGGCGGGGGAGGAATAAACACCGTGATGTTAGGTCTATACAATCCTTCTAGAATAGTTTACGATCGAGGCCTATTTTCGAAGGATTTGTTTGGCGTCGTCAAAGTATAACGGTGCTCATATCTTCCCACCAATTTGCCCTGACAGGCTGATCTTTGGCAAGGGAGCTTTTTTCATCATCTTCTTTCTAAGTATGCTAGCTAATCCATTATTTTACAAATATCAATTTTTGTAACGTCCTGCTTCTTTACTGCATTAATATCCGCACACAAAAAATTAGATTTAGATCATATTATCTCGGGGAAAAATAAAGATTTTGCCACCGAATTAACAGCACCATCAAAACTAGGATACAGATGCGATATATATTTACTCTCTTTGCCCTTGATTTCCACGTACTTTGTACTTTTTGCTCCATGTTTACCCCGAGACAATTTGATGTTAGCTACTCACCTGACCAGGGAAACGGAGTGATGTCGTCACACCTGCCATAGTGGTGGCCACTAATCGGTTCAATTCGCTATAAGTGGGTGTCTTAAGTTTGAGAATGTTCGAACAGATATGATACAATGCTTCGTTATCAATACAAATTGCGGCATCTGCAATGTCAACAAGGTGATGGAAGCTTAAAGTAGCATTGTAGGGCTCTGTGACTGTTTCAGACACCCTCGGTGAGGGAAGCACAGAGAAGCTGCTTAGCAGTCTGTCTGGGTATTCTTCGCGAATCTTTGACATTAACAGCGAGCCAAGGCCTGAACCAGTACCCCCTCCCAACGAATGCGCAACCTGAAAGCCTTGGACGCAATCACAGAATTCCGTAAGTTTGCGGATGCAGTCCATTCCTGATTCCAGTAGTTCCGAGCCCTCTGTGTAAAATCCCTTGGCCCAATTGTTTGCTGCACTGCTCTGACCTACATCAAAAATTGAAAAATAAACGGCGCTTTGAAGGTGATGTGGGCTTTTGGTTATTCATCGAGACTTCAGCTTATATTCGAACTGACAGAAGCTACCGTATCTAATTTGGGATGGTTATATAAGAGCTCGTCGATTAACCATTATAGAGCGTGTATCGTAACTTCTTTGCATGTTTCTTTAAAGCCCCGTGCAAACGGACGCAACATTGTTGGATTTTACATGTTGCGTCCGTTTACGCACCCTGTTGCATGTTGTTGGATGCTGTTGGGCAAAGTTTGAAACCGGTGAAACTTTTCAGCCAACAACTCCCAACATTTCTTTTGTTCCGTGATCGCCGAAGCGTAGCGCAACAATGTTGGATCGGTTTGCACAGCTCTTCCAACATTGTTGGGGCCACGCACGCTCATTACGCATGGATTACAAAAACTTATGGACTTATCTCACGATGCACTGCAGGTCCCAACATTGTTGGGAGTTGTTTGCATCCGTTTGCACACCACTGCCAGCACGCACGCAGTCTTAGAACGATACTCCTCGGAAGATTTTAGAGCTTTATATTTTCCCACACTGTATTGGAGACCATTTCAATCTAAAACAGTTGCGGTAAAAACTGTGCGAACATAATGAACTTTCAGTTCAAGTTTGTCTTTTTAACGATAGCGTTTTATTTCTAGATACGTCTTAGACAAAATCAGTATTAATATTACACATATAGCTCCAACGTGCAATTTCGACTGGGTGTACAAATCAAACAGAGTGCTAAGACAACTCACCACATATGCAGTTATCGGGGCTAAAAAGTCCTCCATACTTCGAGGAACGAAGTGAATTAATAGAGCCAGGCTCGAGATCCAAGCATGCTGCCCTGGGGATGTACCTGCCATCTTCATATAAAAGCGAAACGCACACGAATTGTTATAGACTTACAGATAAAGATAACGATATTTTGTTTATTTAGCGCTAATTACATAAATATTCTAAGGCGCTAATAAAAGCTGACAAACGCTAACAGATAACAAATAGTATACTAAGTGAATTTGAAAAAATCAAAAACACAGCAATCTCACTGTTCAGTACAAGAATTGGCTCATTGGGCAAATGGCATACGAAAAAAAAAAAGTCTTTGGAGAATGCTTAATACCCCGAACACCCCAGACACCACTGATAGCCGAAGGAAGAAGGTCCCACAGTGAGGGGCCAACACGGGCAAAAGCTCTGTCTCCAAGGGTCTTTGGAGACCCTCTTTGTTTTAGAGACCTTTAATAGGTAGCTGGTATTAAATCTTAAATTGCAGCAGCCACTCTCCTTGAAACTTAGAAGCTTCTTTAAGGAGACAGAATAGCGTTTTCAAATAGCTAGAAATAAACTTGATTGTGTTTGGGGAATGAACTCGGAAGGAATACGAAACAGGGAGATAGGGGTACAAGGCCTTCTGGCTCAATACGTACTTACCTGATGTTTCGCTGAAGTAAACGTTTAGCCTGTCTGTTTGTGGACTTTGCCCTTTACAATGACCATCTGGCGTAATGCCGTGCTCATCAGAAATAAGTTCCCAAAACTATAGGACAAAAGAACGCTATTCACTCCACTGTTTCACTACTAACACTGTTTGTTCTTGATGTTGTTTTTTGAACCCCTATTTTCAAGACTGTTGTTGTGCACCCTCAAATCCATTTGCACCGAGTGCTTCACTGTAAGATAAGTCAGAATTCAAGGGAGCGAACTAGCGAACTGTAGTTTGGTGGTGTTCCCTGTATGTAAAAATATAATTTGTTGCTGGCTCCTCAAGGGACAAGATGAAGCGGGTCCTGTGTTCTGCAAATGATTGGCTAACTAAGCGGGGCAATATGAGCTGAGCTTTTTTTTCACGTACGGGCTTAGCCGCTTTGTTCTCTAAAAAAACTTTTGGCCATATTATATATCTTTTATTGACTGCGCTTGCTCGCTCCAGATCGATAGCTGGTTATTAACCTCCTTTTTGGGGACTAATATCCAAGCATCATTGATCTCACTTATGATGAACAACAACGCATATAAATTTACCCCTGAATGCCACTTAACAGCAAAACGGAAAACTCAAGATACACCGAGTCTTTGTACGCGAGTAAATAAATCATTGCCATCCGCCCAATGTTGGTTTCACTGGTTTGCTTAGGCATTGACCTCTTGGAAGTCAGCATTAAAGAGGAAGGGGCCCAAAAATTCCCAGGCACTGTGAACTGTCCTGATTAGGATTTTGCAAATAGATTTATTGCATGTAGATGAAAATCTCTATAAAAATAATATATACGACCGGGAATGCGCGGCTAGGTCCAAGATACTCCCAGAAAAGGCCAACATCGAAAGAACCTGCTGAGAAACTTTAAGCCCTTTATTTTCACGTATTAATGAGCGGTACATGACTGCTGGCCATGTTTTCAACCTTATGAAATAACTAAAGTTTTCAGTTTTCAGGCTTTTACTGCGCTTGTCAGACACACATATATGCTTTATTCTCTCACCACGCTAATCATGAATTCTTGCTAGAATGTTCTATTCTTAGTTTTGAAGTAAACCGTTAACTCTATCATCTCCTCAGTTTCAACTCTTTCCTTGCTTTCTCTGTTCTTTTACTGAACTAGACTTGAAAGAATGCTTTGCAGTTTGTTTCCCGACAAAGTTGATTTGACATAAATAAACAGACAAACAAACTATACACTAGGAAACTGTTGTTCCTTTTCAAGTATTGAATAACGATTCAATTCACTCTCTTCATTTTTGCTGCACTCGATTCATGTCAAATGTGAGGCTTATTTCACTATTGGACGTTAACGTATTCTGTTCCAGTGGTAATACTGATTACCGCTTGTTAAGAGATGGGAGGGAGAAATGTAAAAATCAAAACTTTCTCATCTTATAGAGACAATTGTTTGCCGTGACATTGAAACCAAGAAATAAGAAGTGCTTTTCAAGTTCTTAATTCCCTCCTACAGAGCGACCTACTGCGGAGAACTCAAGAGTCGTTTAACAACACAGTTAAACTTGTAACATTTACATGTGACGATTTTAAGACTTAGACTTAAGACTTATGCTGACCAAAACATACTTGCGGACGCTATCGGTAATAAGCCTTGACGGACGGAACCCTTTAGTTATATATTAATCTCAAGCTTTATAAAATTTATGTTTTAGAGAAAAAAAAACACCTCGAAAGTGAAATTCTGAATTTCAACGATGTTCTTCAACAGGTGAATTTGCACGTCTCGCTTAGCAGGTGGCAGAGCCATTATCTTGAATTTAAATTCTTTAAAGTAAAGGGGCCTCGTGTGATAATTCTTTTAAAATTTCCTTATAAAGTAGATGACAACGCCTTTAGAGCATCTTTTGGTTTAAATTACAAAAAATGCAGTTTCTCTTCCCAAAAAACACCACTTCACCTAAAAACTATTTTGTATGTTGTCAAATTTAAAGTAAATAACTTAGAAAACCTGCAACAAAGATCTCAAGATTTAAGTGACCTGCTCGATTTTAGAGCAGGTGGATATCTTGCAGTTGACATATGTTTTTGAGCGAAAAATCAAAAACTTCTTTTCCCGCCTTGAGCTTAGTAAATCAAACTGCGATTTCTTCTAACAAGGAAGCGTACTTATGATAGTAGCCAAGCTTCAGCCTGCGGTCACTGACGAAGTAGTTCACCTTATCTCTCCAGAAGAACTATACATTATGGAGCCAATGTACTTTGCTCGATCTTTTGAGTCTTCGGAAAAATTCTCTCTCTGGAGTAAACATTAACATTAACCCTCTTCAGTAGTACTTTCAAACTGAAATTATGACTTTTCTTTAATTTTGGCGTTAGCGTTTTTGGATGAGTGCATTGTCATAGTCGATAACTTTTGAAGCGATCCGTATCCCGTGCTTATGTCAGACCAAAATTCCCTTGATCTTGCCGTCGAGTACAAAATAAATTGTTTATCATTCAATACAGCTAACTCTTTATTATCAAAAAATTTCGATCACGCGTTTGGATAAGCAGAAGATTAGGTTCTTGGTGGAATTTCCCTTTTTATATTACTTCTGTGGTCGCTCCGAGTCTTCAATTCCGTAACAACAATAACAATGAGAGTGAGTCCAAAATTATCGGGCTTGAGACCTCGCTTACGCAGATAGAAGGAGAGAGGCAAAAGCTTGAATGCATAGAAGAAGGTTTGTTTTATGCGTTTAATCGAACTTTCACTTTCTTAGCCCAAACTAGAGCAGTTGAAGCGCGTAGAAATGCTTTTAACAATCATTAATTAATAAATAAAGCTGCCCTTTGCAGCTGATCGAACTTTTAACCCTGGGCAATCTTAAGTGGAGCGTGCAATTTTCACGATTTGATTTATTTTGTCTTAAGTGAGTAGAAACTATAGAGTGGGGTACAATTGTAGTTGCTTCATTTGGCTTAAAATTGGTTGACATTCTGAAAGTTACAACTCGAATGTTTCCACCGATCGAAACACATTTCTTAAGTTATTAAACAGCTTGCTTTCTCTTAACGCACCTGATCTGGAAATTAAATTTTTCGTTCGTAATGTTTTGGAATTTCTGGCTATTTCTTAGTTGTATTATATCACTTCGTCTAAAATAGAGACCCTCATCTGCGTACTGCTGTCGCGAAATGTGTACTCACCTTTACAATGCGTGACAAAGTAGTATTTTGAAGTTTATAATGTCTCTTTAAAGAATTGTTTTTGTTCTAAATTTTACGCATATTCGCCCAAATGTAAAGGCTTTTTTTAGTAAGAAAGACACCTGTGCAAAAAATTTATTAGGACTTTTCAACTTGGGCGCTTTATTACCATAGTTAAGGGAATGATCAACATCGGTGTTTCATGGCTATATATGTATCATACCTTGGAACTTATTTGATTTCCACACTGGCCAACCTGGATGTGAACTATGTCTCTCATGTTCACTGATTATCAGCTTGTTCCTGTCGGGAAATTTGTGTGGAAAATCACTTTAAAATACGGGGACAAGTCTGCACATCGTCTTCAACTCATTAGCAACAAGTTGGCTGGTTAGCCGTGTTCTTGCTTCGTTCCAAAGAGACACATCTCATTAAATATTATTACTTAACTTGGTCAAGTTTCTCGCCTTAAGTGCCATTTAACAGTCGTTATAAGTTATGAACAGTTAAACACCCTGTCATTTAGATATCTACCAATAGTTCCGTGAGTTAACATCATGGCGTTTAGCACACACGTCAAACAAGCCCTAGACTATAACCCTTTTATGCGTCCGCGACTACAGACAATTGCGTGAAAGTTTAAATACATGTGCGGTGCTTAAAATTGTCAACTTCTTCTAATTTTCTGTCACATGCAAGCATCTTACCTTGAAAACGTCTTTCTAGTTGATTGATTCCAAATGGCATTTTGATGGTATTTAGATCTTTTCAGATCTCTCAATGGTACTCTAAAACCAAAGCCATTAGGACATATTTGAAATGGGCTACATTCTATCAATTGTCTGAAGGCATAAATAATTTACCATGGCCATGTTTAATTTGGATGAGGGGGGTGGTCCATTCATGGTGTTTCTCATCGCAGTAAAGTAACAGTTTTTCAGTTAATAAACCTTTCAATGGAGCTGTCGTATTTCTATTGGTTACGGGTCATGTGAATTTTTTGAACGCCAGTGGCATTGGTTGAATCAACAAAAACAGGAATGTTTTTTTAAACCTGCAGAAGGAAAATAAATAGAAATATAAATCATCAATTTCACCCATACTTTTTAGAGGTCTGTAAAGGTTACATTTGAAACTGATCATAAACCACACTGACGACAAAAAACCAGGCAAATTTTGTGTTTTTACTACTTAGGAATTCTCACTATATTAGGATTTTTATCGGAAGGACTGAAAAAAGGATATATGGCTAAAGATCTGGAAATTTCGACTTCGAAATATTAGGTCTAAAGTTTCCTTTTTTCTTGAAAGGTTGTAAAATGAAGCTCCTCCTTTCAAAACTTCAAATAAAATTTCTGCGTGACTTTTCAAGGCTATCGATCGAAAATTAGACCATGTAGCCACGACCAAAACAAAACGCACAGTTTTGACTCAATGAACAAACCAATACAAACCAAAACAAAAAAAACAGTAAATAGACAGGAATTCAGCCGTATCTAAAATCGTCTCTATCTTTTTGAAGTTATGAAAAATATTCTGTATTCTTTCTTACAGAACGTTAGATCTATTGTTTAACTTTCCGCCGGTTTTTCTACCATGATATGCGACAATGACACCTGAAGTAGATAATCTTTTTAGGGGTTTGAGCTTTTGCCTGTGTTTTTTATTTATTTTATTCTATTTTATTAGCTTCGCCTGTTACTGAACAATGAATAATAAATACTGATGCTTAATAGGCAGGGTGCCACAACAGCGGTGAGCCAATTACAGTGGTCCCAGAGCTTAAAAGATATGTAAGAAACAGTAAAACTTCATGTGACAATTAAAAACAACAACGGAGACGAACAGACACGTTACGTGAATGTTACATGACGGACAGATGGTTTTCTAGGATCGTGGGTTTTCTGGGTCGTAGTTACGTTCTAAGGCATCCACGTAGTACTTGTACATGATGGATTTGAATTGGCTGATCTGAAAGTTGCATGAAAGTTGAAGATCATTTGCTAGCGTGTTCCAGATTCTGGTGGTTCTATTAAAAAGGATCTTTGAAAAGTGACAGTATTACATTTCCTTGAAATAAAGTGAGTGACATTACGGTTGCTGTTAGATCTAGTAGTGCTTTTGACTAGGACTTGCGGGAGAACAGAGGGACTAACTCTAACTGTTCCAGTTTGCGTTTGTGTTCTATGCGTAACTTAGTTTTCTTGCTCAATCTTTTTCACCTGCTATTGCCTATTATTTTCTTCAGCACAGCAGGCTAAGCGGACAAAACGAATAATAACAACAACAGAAAAAGTAAACAGTGTAAATTTTTTGAAGCTGGGGTTGAAGTTTTCTTTCTGTCCTTGATATCATCCTCTCAGGACACACGTGATGCTTGTGTAAGTCCATCTTTTCCACTGGACCAAACGATGAAACTTTAAATAAGCAGTGAAATGTAAACATCTTTTTCTGCGACCGGATCGGGAGAGGACGCGCCTAAGGTGATTGCGACAACATCACAATAGGACAATGGGAACTAGAGCGATGATGTAATATGACCCGAAAAAAAATCGTGACTTCATCTGTTCTCCATTAAGCGCCTCTTTCTTCGAGCCTGAGAAAGCAGCTGACATTTCGAGACTCCGCCACTAGTTTCTATGCATACATAACGGCGATCAAGATGGCCGCCATCTTGAATTTTAACGACACTTTAGTTTTTCAAGAATGTGCTCGCGTAGGTAAGTGATCTACACATTAAACTTTCAAGACATGTTTAAAAAGATCATCGCTGCCTTTGGAAGTGTTTTCCACAATTCTGACGACCAAAAGTACAAAATTAAACCTTTTTTTGGCATGAATGGCTTCAACTTATTTTACTGTTAGCGGTTGCATACCGTAGCCTACAGCAATCGATTAGAAGCAAATTCCCCCCCCCCAAAAAAAAAAACAAAACAACAACAACAACAAAAAACATTAAAAAACCTTCCGACGGTTCCAAAAGTCTCGGTGTTATTGGTCGTCCGTCTGTTAAGCGATTTGACCGATCTGACCAACAATAAACGACTCTTAAACTCTCATAATAGACGGACCGAAACGCACCAATGACTTTTCGAGTCTTCATAGCCAATAACACCATGGCTTAATTGACAAACGACCAATAACATCGCAACTTACTGACCAAGGTCAATAACCAGAGTTAAATACCATCCACTTGACGTGATACAACTCACTTTGACTCGAATCAGCTCGAAGATGACTACCTCACAGCTTGTCGACACGTCAGTCACTGTCAACAACAGTCCTATTCAGGACTATTTTCAAGAGGAAGTTAAATTCAGCCTACGTAAAAAATGACTCCTGGGTTCAAACCTTTCACTGAGAGTAGCTTGTTTAGTCAGGCAACATATCCTGACATCTTATGTACGAACCTAAAAAACAGAATATTGGGTGGATTTACTAAAAACGGTGGACACGAAAGGATGTCTCGTTATCCAGGAGATTCTTTGCTGCAGTATTTCGTTTGCGCAATTTATTCTGGACACGTCATTGTCCGAACGAAGTTAAGCTATAAGATGTTACAAGCAAAATGGATTGAAGTTTCGAATGTAATTTCAAACAAGCCGAGTAATCGAGTACAAATCTTTATATTGATCTTGTTTTGAAAAAACGACTTAAAGAGATAATATTTGTTCTCTTTTATTGTGTAAATGCCAATCATATCTTTCAAAGTTTGTTGTTTCATCCTGCTAAAGGCAGCAGTTGGGTTTGTTATGAGGGTCAACCCTTTTAGCTTGTAAAGGAGCTCTACTTAAAAGAATGTTACAATCTTTCAATTATATCACAGAAAACGTGGATGACTTACTGGATAAAATGGGGCTAAGACTGATTTGTATTAAAAATAACGTTTATTAAACTAAAAATTGAAAAGAAGCATAGTTCATTAGCTGTGATGTTTTTTGTAGCTGAGCCTGATTTGCCTATTCAGCTGCCAAAGATGTTTTGTTCAAGAAAGTAAACATTTCTTGTCTCAATTTCCTTCAATGTCACATGAAATGAAATCGAGAATAATTTACTACATGGCATTGACGTTTTTTAATGTATTCTTTTCTTTCCTTTGATCAGAAATTCAGTTTTTGGACGATTTTCGGAAATAGAGTTGAGATACTTTAAAGAACTAAAAATCCTGCTTTCTAACATAGGTTTCTTTGGTATGGTAAACGCTTCGTTTGTGCTGGACTCGTTACGAAAGAAAATATGTGAACTGCTACCACATACAAATCAGAATCCACAGTTTGATTTGGGTTTAAGGTAGGTAATTTTATAGAAAATATTGATAGCGTCTTTAAGAACCATGCTTTATGATACATAGATTTGGACAGTCTTTAAACTAAAATTGCGTTACTAAGAATTCAAAAGGTTTCATAACTTTAATTCAAAGAGACTTGGACTTTCGATCCGAAGGCGTTACCATTTTTTGGAAGGGCCCAGAAAGAAAGGCTAGATCCGCGATACATAATGCTACCTTTTGACTGGTTTCACGTTGAATGACTACACTGGATAAAGGCTTAACAGAATTCAACAGTTATACCAGGGATTAAAAGGTGTTTTTAGTTAAACACGATTTAAATCGGCTTGCACAAATTTAACAAAACTAAGGGTACCCGTTACTTGATCCCTTATGTTAAAATAAGTCTTTAAGTTTTCTGTTATTGATTTGTATTTTGATTGAAACTAGCTGAATTGAACATTGTTAGCTCTTAACTTGGATGCACTTCTTATTTGCCTTTATAATCCCCCCAAAAATCTAAGGATTAGCAACAAACCGGCCGATCTTGCCGCACAATTATACAGAAATGGGAGAGTAGACACTTTTTAATAAGTAAAAAGTTTTTTTTATGATATTTTCATAACTTGCAATCCCCTAATTAAAAACCTAATGATTGCTATGACTTGAAACGTTGCGTGATTGCCGTGGATTTGATATGTTGCTATTGATCAAGGGGAAAGTGACATCATGTTGACGGCTCAATGTCAACTTGGCGCAATTTTTTATTATTGCAATCATGACAAAAACAAAGCACGTACAGCGCCTTGATCCGCTTACTCCTTGGAAATTGGAGGCCCTAATCTAATAATATCATAACTTTTGCTTGGTGATTAACCCCAGCTTTCATGACCCTCACTTAATTGAACGACGTTCTCGCGCGCACAGTCGAAAATTACTCGTTTACGCAAGAAAGATTTCCGCACAGGGTAGTTGCTATAGAAACCCTTGGAATTCATAAACCCGATTTTTGCTTTTTAATGTAAGGTAATATAAGAGGTGGTAACGGAAAATTGAGGATTTTCACGAGAGAAGATACAGGGCGAATAAGTTGTTCTTAAGGCCGGATCAAAATGACAGGTGTACTTAAACTGTAAAAATAAATTGTTTAATATTCGATAATGATTGCCGACGCTTCAAAAGGTTTCGGTGATTGTCATTTTGCAAAAGCACCAAGATCGTATTCTTTTATAAATTGTAGGTGACCAGTTTTCAGTGATATCATGTTATTGTATGTTTCCGATCCATTAAAAAGAGTATGATTTAGTTTAAAGCGTTTGTATTTTCTGTTTGCGCTTAGATTTTCAAAGCAAACAATGAAAAAATTATATTTCAAACACTGAGTTACTCAGTTTCGCAACAGTATGTCGTCTTAAATGGAGTATTCTCCATGTTTTACGAGGCCCATATACTTTTAACTGAACACGGATGTCTAGGCTCTAAATATAAATTTTTTAACAAATAATTAATTTTCAAAGAAATAAAATAGTATGGTAGGTTTTGATTCTATTTATG